TTCCTGACCTGCATACAGGTTTCTCAAGAGTAAGATCAGGTGATCTGGTATTCCCATCTCTTTCAGAATTTTCCACAGTTTATTGTGATCCACACAGTCAAAGGCTTTAGCATAGTCAATAAAGCAGAAATAGATGTTTTTCTAGAACTCTCTTACTTTTTCAATGATCCAGCGGATGTTGGCAATTTGATCTCTGGTTCCTCTGCCTTTTCTAAAACCAGCTTGAGCATCTGGAAGTTCATGGTTCATGTATTACTGAAGCCTGGCTTGGAGAATTTTGAGCATTACTTTACTGGCATGTGAGATGAGTGCAATTGTGCGGTAGTTTGAGGATTCTTTGGCATTGCCTTTCTTTGGGATTGGAATGAAAACTGACCTTTTCCAGTCCTGTGACCACTGCTGAGTTCTCCAAATTTGCTGACATATTGAGTATAGCACTTTCACGGCATCATCTTTTAGGATTTGAAATAGCTCAACTGAAATTCTATCACCTCCACTAGCTTTGTTCATAGTGATACTTCCTAAGGCCCACTTGACTTCACGTTCCAGGATGTCTGGCTCTAGGTGAGTGATCATATTATTGTGATTATCTGGGTCATGAAGATCTTTTTTGTATAGTTCTTCTATGTATTCTTGCCACCTCTTCGTAATATCTTCTGCTTCTGTTAGATCCATACCATTTCTGTTCTTTATTGAGCCCATCTTTGCATGAAATATTCCCTTAGTATCTCTAACTTTATTGAAGGGATCTCTAGTCTTTCCCATTCTACTGTTTTCCTCTATTTCTTTGCACTGTTCACTGAGGAAGGCTTTCTTATCTCTCCTGGCTATTCTTTGGAACTCTGCATTCAAATGGGAATATCTTTCCTTTTCTCCTTTGCTTTTTGCTTTTCTTCTTTTCACAGCTATTTGTAAGGCCCCCTCAGACAACCATTTTGCTTTTTTGCATTTCTTTTTCTTAGGGATGGTCTTGATCCCTGTATCCTATACAATGTCACGAACCTCTGTCCATAGTTCATCAGGCACTCTGTCTATCAGATCTAGTCCCTTAAATCTAAAAAGGGACTAAAGGAAATAAAGTCCCTTTATTTCTCACTCCCACTGTATAATCATAAGGGATTTGATTTAGGTCATACCTGAATGGTCTAGTAGTTTTCCCCACTTTCTTCAATTTAAATCTGAATTTGACAATAAGGAGTTCATGATTTGAGCCACAGTCAGCTCCTAGTCTTGTTTTTGCTGACTGTATAGAGCTTCTCTGTCTTTGGCTGCAAAGAATATAATCGATCTGATTTTGGTGTTGACCATCTGGTGATGTCCATGTGTAAAGTCTTCTCTTGTGTTGTTGGAAGAGGGTGTTTGCTATGACCAGTGTATTCTCTTGGCAGAACACTATTAGCCTTTGCCCTGCTTCATTCTGTACTCCAAGCCCAAATTTGTCTGTTACTCCAGGTGTTTCTTGACTTCCTACTTTTGCACTCCAGTCCCCTATAATGAAAAGGACATCTTTTTCATTCATGACAGAATGTGGTCCCCTGGAGAAGGGAATGGCAAACCACTTTAGTATTCTTGCCTTGAGAACCCCATGAACAGTATGAAAAGGCAAAAAGATAGGACACTGAAAGATGAACTCCCCAGATCAGTAGGTGCCCAGTTTGCCACTGGAGATTAGTGGAGAAATAACTCCAGAAAGAATGAAGGGATGTGGCCAAAACAAAAACAACACCCAGTTGTGGATGTGACTGGTGATAGAAGCAAGGTCCAATGCTGTAAAGAACAGTATTGCATAGGAACCTGGAATGTTAGGTCCATGAGTCAGGGCAAATTGGAAGTGGTCAAACAGGAGATGACAAAAGTGAACGTAGACATTCTAGGAATCAGCGAACTAAAATGGACTGGAATGGGTGAATTTAACTCAGATGACCATTATGTCTATTACGCTGGGCAGGAATCCCTTAGAAGAAATGGAGTATCCATCATAGTCAACAAGAGTCCAAAAGGCAGTACTTGGATGCAGTCTCAAAAACGACAGAATGATCTCAGTTCGTTTCCAAGGCAAACCATTCAATTTCACGGTAATCCAAGTCTATGACCCAGTCAATAACACTGAAGAAGTTGAACGGTTCTATGAAGGCCTACAAGACCTTCTAGAACTAATACCCAAAAAAGATGTCCTTTTCATTATAGGGTCAACTGCTGTCACCTCCTAATGGCCAACCCTCCCCCTTGATGGGCAGTAGTCACTCAACATATATTTATTTACATCTTCAGGGTGGAAAGTGATGTGTTAGGTATCAAGTGAGACACAATGTTGAGGAAGCTATTGGGTATGACTTTCAGGATGAAATGAGCCCCATCACCAATGCCTTTCATATTTGACTGATATTTAAAATTATTGGACCAAATGAGGATCAGAGGGCCATAAAACGAGATGCTGGTGTTTACAGGAGGGAGGAAGAAATCCATCTGGTGGGGGTCAGGACACTGTATAAAGCTCATAGCAACGTAATGTTTGACTATAGCTATGACCACAGATAGCTTGGGCTTCCCAGGTAGCTCAAACAGTATAAGAGTCTGCCTGCAATGCAAGAGACCAAGTTGAATCCCTGGGTCAGAAAGATCCCCTGGAGAAGAGAATGGCAACCTACTCCAGTATTCTTGTCTGCAGAATTCCATAGATGGAGGAGCCTGGCAGGGGTCACAAAGAGTCGGACACGACTGAGTGACTCACGCTTTCACCTTCTTTGCATAATCCTCCCTTGACGTGCACCTACTCACCTCTTTCCCCATTTCGCAGCCAAAGAAGGGACACTCAGGACGCTCAAATCGTTAGTTCCAGGGCCCCTAGCTGCAGATTGCTGAGGCTGTGATCCAGAGGCCCGTGTGCTTCCCGTCTAATTTGGCTCTCGATTGGTACTGTGCTTTTGGAGGAGGTTATGGGGAGATGAGGCCGTCCTGACACCAGGATCAGCACGTGAAAAAGGTGTGACAGCGTGAAGGAGCATTCAGAGCTGCTCTGATCTGGCTGAATGATCAGTGCTGGGCGCAGTCTTGTTGGCAGAGGCCAGCCCTGCCTTCTGACCCCCGGCAGACAGTATCCTTTTTTGTTGGAAATGTTGAAAGTGAAATCAAAGCCTGGCTCAGGATGCCACCCACTCAGTATCTGGGATTAGGGTTTGACACTGCTTGATGAGGGCTCTGGTGAACAGGAGCCCTTTTCGATCCACATGAAGACAGCTGAAAGCCATGTCTACCAGCCTCCTTAGCATGTGAAATCTCTGCCCCGTGTTTAAAGATAGTGGTACTGGGGGTTCAGCCATTCGACTCGGAAAAGCTCTGAGAAGCCCACACGGTGTTCTCCAGCAAAGCAGTGTCGCTGCCGTGTGCGTGTGCATGTGCGTGTTGTCGGTGCCTCCCTCGGCTCTGTGTCCCCAGCCTTCCTGCAGGTCTGCTCTGCTCCTGAAACCTGCTGAAATCCTTGGGTAATCAACATCCGGTTTTCAGTTAGGACCCCAGCTCCATTCAACCGTGGGGCACGTGGGTCCTTTGCCAGAATCATAAATCATCTGTAAACTCCATGGGAAGGTTGTAATAACAACAGTTACCCTTTGGAAAACATGCCTTTAGAAACTCGCATTTGTGTATTTGAGACATCTTGCGATCTTGACAAAAGCCTGTGAGGTGTGCAGGCTATGTGGGGTCTGCACTAAACCCGTTTCAATGCTTAGGAATTGTATGTCAGTTTCCCAGGGTTACAGAGCTTCTTCCTCTGGCTATTTCGTTCAAGGTAAACCATGAGACTTTTGGAGAAGTCCAGGATCTTTTATTTACCCCTCCTGTGAATTCTCTTCTCTCTGGGATGACTCTGTGGACAGGGATCAGAGAGCTGCTGTGAGGCTTGGCTTGTTCAATCATCATGTGCAGTTCTGCTCAGTCTGGATATAATTTATGTAAATGTACACACAGACATAGACACATGCACACAGGTGACATGTGAGTACACATAGACACATAGGTGTGCAAACATATTACTATATGCATCATATGCACACTATCTACATTCATAAACACATGCATTTACATGTACAAACTAACAAACACATATATGCATAAATCTGGGGGCTTCCTGGGTGGCCCCATGGTAGAAGAATCCACCTTTCAATGCAGGAGACTAGGGTTTGATCCCTCGGTCAGTAAGATTCCCTGGGGAAGGAAATGGCACCCCACTCCAGTATTCTTGCCTGGAAAATCCCACGGACAGAGAAGCCTGGCAGGCTGCAGTCCATGGGGTTGCAAAGAGTTGGACATGACTAAGCAACTGAGGAAGCATGCATGCACACATATACATGAATCGCTCACATACACAAATGCCCAGCTGTGTTCCTGCACACACATCTGCATACCTGTTCACAGACCCTATAACTAGAGATATCCTGCTCCCTTTCCCATAATAGAGGGGCACATGGAATAACCGAATATTAGAGTGTGAAATACTAGAGTGTGAAAGAATATAGAAGAAAATCTCTGAAATCCTTTGGATCGTGCAGCTCCCCTGAGATCATTCAGCTGTAACCCTTATTGAAAGCATCACATCCGTACCCCTTTACTTATCAATCATATATTTTAAGCAGATGATTTGTTTTTCTGGGAAGGAGCCAGGGGTTTGGCTGAATGCAAGCCCCGATCTTCATATCGGCGTGGGCCACTTAAAACATACGTGAATCCTCCCTGCATCTGCACCCCTCTGGAAAGTCCACTACCCAGAACAGCATTGCCACCGTGTCCTGATTCTGGGCCCCCACCGAACCCCAGCTTCATTTTTCTCAGTCTGACAGACTGCCGTTGTCTCCAACCTCCTTAACCAGCGTGGAAACGATCCCCGTTCCTGAGTCTCGGCCAGCCCTTGTGACCAGACTAACTTGGCCCGTGCAGGGGTTGGTGTGTCTGCATGGGGAAGTGCACTAATATGAATGTTTTTCTTTGTGTGTGCACCCTTGCAGTGTTGTTTACCAGGATGGATTTTATGGTGCAGACATTTATGTAAGTATCCATTAACATGCATGCCACCCTTGTTTCTCACCGGAGTCGTTTTTTTTACAAGTTTGCTGCGATTTCTTAGCTGGGTGCCAATATTCCGCTTCCCGTGGGAAAGAGTCAAAGGCTCGGAGGACAGACGGCCTTCTGCTCACGGTAGCCATCGTGCTATTGAGTGAGTGGAATGAACTCCTTGATTCATTTCAGAATAAGTGAATTTTATTTATTCAAAATAAAATACTGACTTTTTCCCCATGTCCAATTCAAGACTTTGCCGCAAAAAGAAATTCTCTCCCAAATTCTCAATTGGGATCTCTGTGTTTTTAGTCTGATATTTAAGATGACAGCTGAAGTTACCAGCTGTAGAGGGTGAAAAGATATTTTCATGGCTAATGTTTTTGATGTTTTCTTGTATACATTGAATTGTTTATCATGACAGCCCTAGAAAGACATTCCCCCCAAGTCCCCGTTTCTCTCTTTCTTCCCCCACATTGATGGTTTTAGCAAGAAACACCTCCTAACAAGATATAGATCCACTTGAGCCTTCAACTCTTATTTTTTTCAACCCCTGATTTCCGTCTCTTTCCCTGAAATAGTTACCTGACTTAGAATTATTAGTCCAATTTAGGATTGTTTGTTAAATGGTACCACTTTATTAAGCTTCTCACTCTTAGAGAAGAGGAGGATGTTTCTCATTATGGGGCCATAATTAAATTTACCTAACTTGATCTAGAGGTAGTTATTCACCCATGGTGTGATATTAGCATCAGTGTTATGAAAATGACTTGGAATAAACACAACTTAAAAGAAATGGGGGATATTTTCTAAATCACATCATTATTTTCATTATGAGTGACCTCAAATAAATTCAGTGGAATTGTATTTGTTGTTTTATAGACTAGATAACAAAGAAAAATATAGCCATATTCCTGATCAAATTGAGGCAATTTACTAGAAAATAGGCAAGATGCTAGTTATTTAATTTTTTTCCCTTTGACTTTCAAATAATTACAATTTTGAGCCAGAGTATTAATCTCCATCAATGATGAACTTGGGTTTTATTATTATTGCATTAAGTACATTTATTATAATCTGTGGGTTAGTTTTATTTTTTTTTCCCATAATAAAATGAAAGAACAGCCTACCTGTCTTTTATTCACCCAGGGAGCAACCAGTTTCCTTTTTGCGTATCTACCTCCATCCACTCCTTCTCAAGGCCTCTTTTTCCAAACTTTGAGTTTGTACCATTTTAAATAGAGAAACAGGCAGGGGCTAGAGACTCTGGACCTCTGATCACAAACCTCAATCTATCCCCTTCCGCTAGGGTAGCTTCTGGATGGAGCATGCATACGGAGGAAGTGAGGACTTAGCTGGCCTTCCCTGGTGGCTCAGGCAGTAAAGATTCTGCCTGCAATTCGAAAGACACGGGTTCGATCCCCGGGTCAAGAAGATCCCCTGGAAAAGGAAATGGCAATCCTCTCCAATGTTCTTGCCTGGGAAGTTCCACCGATGGAGGAGCCTGGTGGGCTACAGTCCAAGGGGTTGCAAAGAGTCCCACATGACTTAGCGACTCAACAGCGACAACAGCCCCTTGAGATACAGCTATGTTCAGATGATTGGAAATGTCCCTCCTGCTCCCTTTTTTAAAAAAAGAAATGATGGTTAAAGAGGCTCATAAAAAGATACACAAGGTTCTATTTTTTATTTAAAGGAAGTTTGTGGCTGGCTTGTTCAATCTCATTAAAAATAATGCACAGTGAGTAGGTCCAGGGCCATCCTGAGGGGACCTGGGACATGTCTTGCACACACTGGTCACCTCCACTGGGTCTAAATCAGTTGTTTCTTTTTTCATTTTACTGGGCAGAGTTGTCAGCTTCTGGCTTCAGTTACTTTTAAGGAAGGTGATGGGAGTCTGCTCTCTGCTTCTTCCTTACTCAGATCATCCTCAGTCTTGACAGTGGATCATCATCCTCAGTCTTGACAGTGGATCAGAGCAACCCAACAAGGACAACAGCAGGGGAACTAGGACCACTGACCTTTTGTACACACCCCACTTTCTCCAGCACATTCTTCTCTTGGTTGCCCTAGGTCCCTATCCCTCCCACATCATGGTGGAGCTCTCAGGCATCTCCCAGTCCTGCTGAAGCAAATAGGATTTGAAAGACCTGCAAGGATCCCTGTAACTAGCAAGTCACAACCTCCTCTGTAGAAATAGCTCCTCTTAAACTTTGCAGGGAAGAGAGGATTGAGGGGAGAGAGAGAGAGAGAGACAGCGATGATCAGATACCCTGAAAGAGCTAGAGGCAGTGGATGTGTTATAAGATGCTATGAGCCAGAAACTAAGGTTAAAAACCAGGGATGCTCCTTTGGGCTGAGTGCAAAGAAAAATCATCTTGCTTGGAAGCCCAGCTCTGCAGGAAAAAGGCTGCCTGCCCTGCTCTGACCCAGTACCTGTGGCCACTCACCAGAGGACAGAGAGGTCTTCTAAGTCAGCAAGAAGGGTCACAGAGGTCACTACCTGGGTCTCTTCTACCTGGGGCATCACACACACACACACACGAACACACACACACACACCTTTATTTGGAAAGGTAGCAATTGAGCTTCCATAACTAGCCTGTCAAACCTACACATTCACTCATTGCTAAGTGGCACATATTTCCATAAACTCCTTTGCGTGGAAAAGCAGGCCATGGCACAACATTGTAGATCAGCTCTGTGCTGTTCTGTGATCAGCTGCTCCACCCTTGCGTCCGACTCTTTGCGACTCTACGGACTGTAGCCCACCAGGCATCTCCATCTATGGGATTTTCCAGGCAAGAATACTAGAGTGGGTTACCATGCCTTCCTCCAGGGGATCTTCCTGACTCAGGGATCTAACCTGAGTCTGCTGCAATGCAGGCAGATTCTTTACCACTGAGCCACCAGGAAGCCCAAATCAACCATACCTCAATAGAAAAAGAAGAAAAACTAGACCAAGTTAATGAAAAAATATAGAAATAATAAGAGAGGTGACACGTGGATATGATCAACTGTTTGAAAGTTGAAGGACCACGGTCCTTGGACTTGCAAAGCAATCAGTTAGATTGAAGGGTGAAGCCAGAGATCTCATAAGGCAAACCTTGATCGAGGGGCTGAAAATAAGGGTTGCTGAACCAAACTTAGCCAGGACATGCGTCTTCACCCACTCAGGGAGATAGCAAAGAATATGGAATTAGATCAAAAGATAACTATTGAAAATGGAGGAAAGGGCATGATAATAGAGCTATTAAAAAATTAAAAAAGACCTGACAAGCTCTCAGTAGAAACTAGAGTAAGATAATAGAGTTCTGAGCACTAGGAGAAAGGAAAGAAAGGATAGGAGAGGAGAGAGAGAGATGATATAGAATATAAATATTAACCTTACTCCCTTTTATTGAAAAAGCCCTAAGCTTCCTAACAGGGCTTCCCTGGTGACTCAGTGGTAAAGAATCCGCTTGCCAATGCAGGAGACATGGGTTAGTTCCCTGGGTCAGGAAATGGCAACCCACTCCAGTATTCTTGCCTGGAGAATCTCATGGACAGAGGAGCCTGGTGGGCTACAACAACAACAAACCTTTCTTACACTCAGTGCAACTGTGAGGATATCTAGCAAATATGTCTGGATAAGATTCCAGTGCATTTTTGTATCATGCCTAAATCCCATTATAAAGAGGTTCTGGGTTATATCATGACTTCTGTACATTATTTATGAATTCATGTCACTCTGCCGTCCATAGATCTTCAAGAGGCAAACTCATTTCACTGATGTTTGAGCTCAGGACAGAGGGGTCAGTAGCTTTTGGAACATGGAAAATGGAACTTCTCCAGATAAGAACCCCAAGTGTTTATTCCTGAGTCTTTGCTTTCTGTGTGGACCAGCTGGTGGGTTCTGGTCAGTCACCAGGTGGGGAGGCAGCAGCTCATCTGGAAGTTAAGCATCTCTTGTGTAAGAAACATGACACTCACACTCCACATCACCTCACCCTCTCTGCACATGGTTCTATCAAGTGTGTTAGTTGCTCAGTCCTGTCTGATTTTTTGCAGCCCCATGGACTGAAGCTCACCAGGCTCCTCTGTCCATGGGATTCTCCAGGCAGGAATACTAGAGTGGGTTGCCATTTCCTCCTCCAGGGGATTTCCCTGACTTGGGAATGGAACTTGGGTCTCATGCATTGCAGGCAAGTTCTTTACCATCTGTGTCCTGGTCCTAATCTAGGAGCAGTCTTATTACACATCACCTCCGTTGTTTCTTCCCCAGAGGAGGAAGAAACAAGAAACATTTTTTTCAGAAAAAAGATGAAGTCTTTTGCCCAGACATCTTCACTGACACTGTGGTTTGAGCCCATGAGATCGATCAAATTGCAAAGTTCAACCCTTAAGCCCTGGGCCAACAGAAGGACATCATTTTTTCCACAGAGCAAACTTGAGAAGGTGTTGAAAGACAGGCAAGGAGGAGGGTGAGAAGTGAGAGGATAATGGAGACCATGTGAAGTGGACCGGTCACAGGGAATAATATCTGTACTTGAAATGTTCAAATGACAGAGAGAGAGATGGAGGAACTTCTATAGGCATAGTTCCGAAAATGTAGAATTTTAACTTAAAAGGGAAGGCTCAGTAGAACTGGGAGCTTCCCTGGTAGCTCAGCTGGTAAAGAATCTGCCTGCAATGCAGGAGACCCTGGTTCGATTCCTGGGTCAGGAAGATCCCCTGGAGAAGCTATGGGCTAACCAATCCAGTGTTCTTCATTATTGTTGTTTGTTTACTTGCTCAGTCGTGTCCGATTCTTTGCGACCCCATGGTCTGTAGCCTACCAAGCTCCTCTGTCCATAGAATTTTCCAAGCAAGAATACTGGAGGGGGTTGCCATTTCCTCCTCTAGGTGATCTTTCCAACCCAGGGATTGAACCTGGGTCTCATGCTTGGTGGGCAGATTCTTTACCCCTAAGCCACCAGGAAGCCACACACACACACACACAGAGACACAGA